GGTGTGTGGGGTGGGGGCAGGGGGCACCGGGGGCGGAATTCTGGGTGGTCCGATAGTTTTGGGAAACGCATTCTCCCCCTCCCGCGGCTCTGGGCGTCAGGTCTCCGTGGTGCCGCTCGGAAGCTCTGGTTCCTGCTGGGTTCTCCTGCCCGCTCGGTGCTTTCTGCAGCTGGTGGGCGAGAGTCCAAGAGTCTTCCCGAGTGAACACCTTTTGTTTCTCTCGGAGCAGGGAGGGATGAAGCAGCGTTTCAGGGTCCTTTAGAAAACGAGTTACCAAGCCAGGGAAATGGTGGGGAATAGTGGAGATTTCTTGTGAAGCCTGGGTGTATCATTCCTAGTGGGAAAGGGGGCGTTTTAGAGGACAAGAAGGGAAAGATAACTCATATTTTGAGTACCTGCTATGTACTCCGGTAGCTTGTGTAACCTTCTGGAGATCACGTACCCCTTGAAAGGTTATGGAAAGCCAGGGGCGATTCTTAAACAATGGGTACACGTACAGTATCTGTCCTACAATTTATGAGACACGTGGATTGCGAAGTCCAGCCGTGGATCCTCTAGGTGTCTGTGAGCTTACTTCTATCTTGTATACTGTACCTGGCACTTGATATTCTTTGACCTCCACAATAACTTAAGTATCCTCATTTTACATATGAGGAAGCTGAGGTTCAGACTTTATTCGGGGGGGGGGGGTTATTTGAGTCTGTTTGAATCCAAAGCCTGTACTTTTCTTATTGCAAAGCTATCCTAGTGTTTGAGATTCAAAAAGGTTTAAAAAAAAAAAAAGCCGACTATTGCATGACCCTTACTGTAGTGGATTGGTTAACTTGAACTTTGGAGTCTGACTGATGTGGCTAAAATCCATTCTCTGCTTCTTACCAGCTATATGTCATTGGGGGTGTTCATGTATCTGTGCCTCAGTTTCTTCATTTGTATAAATGGAGATAATCACAATACTACCTGTCTTACAGGGATGTTGTTAACACTAAATATGTTACAATGTGAAGTCCCTAGAGCTGTGTGTCCATCACAAGTAAATCCTATTATTGTGATTGTGTCTTCCAACATAGACTATGTGGTGATATTATTTTGTGTCAATTGTATTTTAATATACAGGATGTCCCCCAAGTGTATACAAACTATAACAGCTGATAGCTGAAAAAGAAGTGTATTTTAATAGATACTGCCTTTATAATTATTCAAAATGTGTGTATATATTTTTTGCTCTATTTTGGAAATGAGTTGATAACCTTAAGAACCTTATTAAGTTTTCAATTCTTAAAAAGCTCAAAGGAAGGATGATTTCTCATGTTGATTTGAGTATAGACAGTTTTTGTCCTGCTTCTTTCTTTTTATTTTTTATTTATTTATTTACTTGTTTCTTTTTAAACATGCATGCATTTAGATAGCTTGCAGTTCACATATATGACTTTGTAGTCTCTGAATTTTTTATGATGAAACAGTTTTATTATTAAAGTAGCTACAGATACTGTATGTGCCTCCTACCATCACTGGAAGTGCCTAATCTTTTCAGAACAGCTTGTCTGTCAGTCAAACTGTCATTCATGGGTAGAGCTGACAGTGACCACTTTTTTGATACATTAGAACTTTTTGGTTATTAGGCAATACACTTTTTTAGTAAACATGATGAGTTTTTTTTTTTTTAAGAATTTGGAGTTTATTTCTTTTTCTTTTTTTTTAAAATATATTTTATTGATTTTTTATAGAGAGGAAGGGAGAGAGATAGAGAGTTAGAAACATCGATGAGAGAGAAACATCGATCAGCTGCCTCCTGCACATCTCCTATGGGGATGTGCGCGCAACCCAGGTACATGCCCTTGACCGGAATCGAACCTGGGACCTTTCAGTCCGCAAGCCGACGCTCTATCCACTGAGCCAAACCGGTTTCGGCGATGAGTTTGTTTTTTAAAAACATCTGGAGACTGATTCGTATACATAGGTTTAGAGGGAAAATTGCATATAATTAAATAGTAATTTGCATTTAAATTCGGGCATTGAAAAATTAGAAACACTTTCCTGGTAGTATGTATTCTGAACTTTGGAATCCATGAACAATAACAAATTTAAAAAAAAAACAAATAGCTTATCATATCTATTCTAAGAATTTTCTGATTTCCTTGATTGTTAATACTTATTTAGGGAGCTAAATTACTATAGGAACACCATGGGGGATGAGAACATACTTAGAGAAATATGTTTTTGTTGCATTATAACTTGATAGCAATCTGAGATTGTTTAAAAAAATATTTTTATTGATTTCAGAGAAGAAGTGAGAGTGATAGAAACATCAATGATGAGAGAGAATCATTGATTGACTGCCTTCTGCACAATCCCCACTGGGGATTGAGCCCCAAACCTGGGCTTGTACCCTAACCGGGAATCAAACCATGACCTCCTGGTTCATAGGTAGATGCTCAACCACTGAGCCACACCAGTGGGCACAATCTGAGATTCTTTTAAGTCCAGTTGCTCTTTTTTAAAAAAATATATTTTTATTGATTTCAGAGATGAAGGGAGAGGGAGAGATAGAAACATCAATGATGAGAGAGAATCATTGATTGGCTGCCTCTGCATGCCCCACTGGGAAACGAGCCCGCAACCCGGGTATATGCCCTGACCAGGAATCCAACCAGTGACCTCTTAGTTCCTGGGTCGACGCTCAATTGCTGAGCCACACCTGGCTGGGCCACAATCTGAGATTCTTATGGTGTAAGATTAAAGTACTCAAATATAGGATGTTTTGGTGGTGATGAGAGGGAGAGATGGTATTGCTTTGTGTTTAGTGGGAGCAGAAAGTAATTACTTTTTATTGCATACTTGTGAAAAATAAATGAGTTTAGCCCTCCTCAGCAGTCAAGGTTATTTTTTATTTTTCCTGCAGTCTTGAAGAGAAAAAATTGCTCAAGGCATTCATTCCACAATTTAAACTCATTATTGGGCTTGGACTTCATCCCCTTCACTAATTGGTCTCACTTACTAATTTAAGTTGATAACAGATTTCTTTAAACAATTATGGATGGTGCCCTGGCTGATTTGAATCAGTGCAGCGGTTCTCAACCTGTGGGTTGCAAACAATGAAAATACATCCTGCATATCAGATATTTACATTATGATTCATAACAGTAGCAAAACTACAGTTATGAAGTAGCAACGAAAATAATTTTATGGTTGGGGTCACCACAACATGAGGAACTGTATTAAAGGGTCACGGCATTAGGAAGGTTGAGAACCACTGGAGAGCATCAACCTAGGCCTAGGACCGAAGGGTTGCAGGTTCCTCAGCCCTGGTGGGGGCGCACGTGGGAGGCAACCAATTTATGTGTCTCTCTCAAGTTGATGTGTCTCTCTCTCTCTCTCTCTCTCTCTCTCCCTCCCTCCTCCCCCTCTACATCCCCCCCATAGGTAGTATTTTGCACCCCTTCATTCCCAAAGCACTATTAACTTAGTGGAAGAGTTGGCTTTGCTCCCAGGAGGGTAGTGTGAAGTTATCTGAGAAACTAAGAGCTGATCCTGATTGAAGGGCCCTTCCTGGGCTTCCCTAACATGGTGTCCTCAGTGTGCTCACCTCATAGCTTTTCCTGCATGAACCTATCATGTTGTTTTCTTGTCTGTCTTCTTTACTAACCTGTATGTTTTAGGAGGTCAGGGACTGTCTTCATCATTTTGGAACCCTCATGGTCAGTCAACATATTGCTTGGCATGTGGTTCTTTTTTTAAAAAAATATATATTTTATTGATTTTTTACAGAGAGGAAGGGAGAAGGATAGAGAATCAGAAACATCGATGAAAGAGAAACATCGATCAGCTGCCTCCTGCACACCCCCTATTGGGGATGTGCCCGCAACAAAGGTACATGCCCTTGACCGGAATCGAACCCAGGACCCTTCAGTCCGCAGGCTGATGCTCTATCCACTGAGCCAAACCGGTTAGGGCGGCATGTGGTTCTTAATACACATTTGAAGAAATTAACAAATTTTTGTTTGGTAACTGATTATTAGGCCGACAGAAGTTTTGTCTTGAATACCTTAAATGTTGAGTTTCTTCTTTTTCTTTATTTTTTAAAATATATTTTTATTGATTTCAGAGAGGAAGGGAGAGGGAGCGAGAGGGAGAAACATCAATGATGAGAGAAAATCATTGATTGGCTGCCTCCTGCATGTCCCCTCCCCCCACTGGAGATTGAGCCCACAACCCAGACATGTGCCTTGACTGGGAATCGAACAGTGAACTCTGGGTTCATAGGTTAACTGCTGAGCCATACCAGTCAGGCTTGAGTTTCTTCTTTAAATCGAGCCTTCTTAGGTTGCCATTTCTGTAGTGAGTTGTTTGTCTTCCTGGAGTCTTAACTAAAGAATGCTCTTTTTTTTTTCTTCCTTCTGATTATATAAATAAATTGTTTTCCTTAAAAATAAGAGTAGAGCCCTAGCTGGTTTGACTCAGTGGATAGAGCGTCGGCCTGTGGACTGAAGAGTCCTGGGTTCGATACGGCCAAGGGCACATGCCTGGGTTGCAGGCTCGATCCCCAGTAGGAGGCATGCAGGAAGGAGGCAGCCGATCAATGATTCTCTTTCATCATTGATGTTTCTATCTCTCCCTCTCCCTTTCCCTTCCTCTCTGAAATTAATAAAGATAAAAATATTTAAAAATTCAAATAAAATAAAAAGAATAGAATTGAAAGTAATGGATGGTGGTAGAGGTTTTGTTAGCTTTTAAGTATATGTGTGACAATTCCAGTTCCACCACTCTGGGCTGTAGATCTGGCCATTTGCCTGCCACTTCATGCACAGTTAATGAAATAACTTCCTAGACTTATTGAGGGAGACGACTTGTCAGATTCAGAGAATTGGTTTAAAAGTTTTCCTGTTATAGCCAAG